ACGGTTGACCATGCATGTGTAATTCGCTGCGGAAGAGTTGAAAATTTGCTACTTTGTTTACAAATTGATGCAAAATTTCTCATATTCCAAATTTTGATATTGAAAAATAAGTACAAATTTATTGAAATATAGAATTTTGCCAAATTCAATCAGTAAATTTCAAATCTTAATAATTTTGAATAAATTAAATTGTCAATTGAGTTACGGCTGCCATATTGGGGGTGAATCAGATGGTTGCGGCTGCAATCGAGATTTTTCCTTGAGGAAATCGGCTAGGCTGCGGCTACATTCCACAAGATGTGTGAAATGCATTGCTTCTGATAGATTATAGGAACGCAATCTCGATTGCCTCAAAATTGACATCCAAAATTGGTCATGCAGAGCCGCAGAAGACATTCTATTCAATTATTTTAGCAAGTCTGACTGAAGCAAAGAAGGATCACATTCAGCCCTTCCTATAGAATATGTCGGTGGACAATCATAACTAATCATGTGCACAGCAACATGAGACTGACTTTTAGGTAAAAGAAATTTACATCCACATCGATTAGCCTCTACAATCAAAAAATATTCATTTGTAGTCTCACGGACAAAGCCTTTACTCACAATGCCGTAGCTATGATCATGCGTGATTGAACACCTTCATATCCAGACCGTGCAGATATATTGTCATCAGCGTCACCGAGAGAGTGAAGGAAAGAAGTATCATCCTAAAGCTACTTTACGTTGTTGAAGCTCCCAACATTACTCTTAGTCTGCATTAACCTTTGCAAATCAAAGTGTAGACTTAAGCGAGTTTATATTGTACGTTCGAAGAGGTTCCTTTGGGAGTAGTTTAGCTTCATGGTGGAAAAACTGTTAGCATGTTCCTTCAATCATGTGTAGCGGCAAAATCAAACATCTATTCTACTACGCTTTTGATGGTTGAAAAAATTATTTGTCTTCCATCCATTCATAAGAACATACTTCATTCTTTGATCTACTCACTACGTTCGATAAATTGTCTATTCATCATCATACTTGTGTATTACCTCATTTTACGCTTTGGACGTTGTTGTCGTCACAGCAAAGTTATCTCTTCTAAAGGATTCACAAAGAAATTCTGAAATTTGTTATAGACTATAAAGTGAAATCAATACTTGTGCAAGTAATGTTGAACAAACTAAGATATTCACAAAACTCACTATGTAAAAATAAATCGCTAAGATGTTTATTGAAAGAGTGTACATATTAATTTAATACCATTAGGTTCTCGAGATCTACTTCTATGCTATGACTAAAACAAAGCTGCACTAACTAAGCAAAGAAGCTTTTAAAATGAAGTCTAACCATAGTAGTGAACTATAGCAAAGAGTATAATTTCCAAAATTCCCTCTTACTCAAATTCTAAGTTTTTGTCTCTTGATGTACAATGCAATACAATGAGTGGATTGTTCTTGATGCGAGTATGCAACTTGCGAACATTAAAATACTTGTTGATGAAGGTGGAGGTATACTTGACAGTTCAAAGCTTTGTGGATTGCCTTATGTAATCTGCTAAATATAATTCACTAATAAAATGTGGAATCAGATACCTGTGATGGAATTCTGAAGTTTAATCCATCTCTCCACATCTTGAATTTGCTTCTTTCTAATAATTTTGTAAACATGTCCCCAAGTTGCTCTGCAATAGAGATATATTCAAAAAGTATATTGTCCGCTTTAACCTTTTGGCAGCATAATTACTAATCAATTGTGAAATATTTTGTTCCATTGTGGAACACAAAGTTATTTGCAAGTTTTATGGCGCTTTGATTGTCCACGCGGATTAGAATAGGAGTGCTAGAAGAGCATCTAATTTTTTCCATTAGTCTCCCAATTCAAATCTAAGTAGCTTGCATTACACAAAGATTAAGAGTCTAGCGTTCAAATTTGCAACTGGATCAAGCTGTTGATTTTTGTTTCTTGGAATTTTAAGTCATTGATGATGAACCAAGCATGAAAAATTAAACATCTGTGAAAATGTAGTCGTCTAAAATCGCTGAATAGTTGGTGTCACAGTAATCTTGTAGCTTGATTTTCTCCTCATTGATGTAAAAAAATGTCAAAGTAAGCATAACGTTTAATGCAACGGAGTAAATCCTTGACGACGGCGAGATGAATATCTCAAGACTAGTGCATATAGCGAGTGACCAGATTCAATGCGTAGGCAATGTGCATGTGAAATATAGCAGTTTGTCTACAAACGATTTGTATACGTTGGAATTGACAACAGATGTATTGTTGTTTTGGCAGAGTTGAGGATCTTAATTAAGTGGGATGAAGTTTGAATGGGAGTGATCAAAGTAGAACTCATCTAATATGGACATCGCATAATGAGCTTGATGTAGTAATAATTGTTAGGTTAACTGTATCTTGGATTAACTCCAGTTAGTGATAACCATGGTTAAGAAGCTAATTGTGGTTAGTTTAGTTATTATGTGCACCTTATCTCTTCTTGTATATAAGAGAGGAGGAGACATTCACTACAAACAGTTCAAGATAGCACTAATAGAGTGAACAGAAAGGAGTAGAGCTTGGTTATGAAAGTCGTGTATACATCTATGCTTTAGTGAAGTTTCTACTCTTGCCCATGTACGTAGCCTATGTAAGGTGAATCATGTTATCTCAATGTTGTGAGTGTTGTGTGTGTTGATGGATCTGGATGTTTAGGCCTTTCAATAATGCTCCCGGAGTGTGTACAAATTGAACAACTAAGTACTGTAACACGAAAGTTTAGACAGAAGTTCACTCGAAGATGAAAACATAAACTTTGAAGATGAGAGAGATACAAACAATAGTTTTTCTCTCCTTTATATAGCTCTTACCAAGAAGTACAAGGAGATAAAATTTCATCCCCATCATCCTTTTCACGACTAGTGGATGGATGATGTGGCGGATAAGCCTAACAAGAATACGGAGATAAAATCGCATCTCCATCATCTTTTCCACTCTTAGTGGATGGATGACATGGCGAATAATCCTAACAACAACACTAATTTCTGACGTGGCATTCTCAACTAACACACTTAATCTTTTCCTAATAAGAACACAGATTGTTAACGTGGCGTAGTCAACTAACACACTTACTCTCTACCTACCAAACATGTGGATCGTTGACATGAGAGCTATGACTAGTTCACGCTAAAGTAACTATAACTTCATCATGAATAAGCTCTACTTTAGTTCTAATTAACTAAAGATGGTTACAAGTACATGAAGATTGTACCTAGATCGGTCATGACGAATTATTCAAAGAGCGCGGCATCAAGATCATGAATGAGTTGTGGATGACAATCTGTGAGGTAGAGTTTGTTTTCGTACAAGATTAGTAGAGGATGTCATCTTGATTTTGTAGAAGATAGAAATTTGGATCAACTTGACTTCGTTGAAATCCTCGGTTGTAAATTGCAACATTGACGCTATGATAACATGCTCGTGAGCTCTGACATAAACCATACAGAACTCAATTCAACTTGCAAATATCACGCTTGCGTTTTAAAGAAATGAAACCAAGAGGTTATTACATGTAGACTTTCTCTTGGAGAAAGTCAACATGTTATAACCTGGTTTCACTTTGAAAATCAAAATGACCTTATGTATCGGTTTCGATGAGCAACAAATGCAGAGATAATGTTGATTGTCTTCCAGTGTACAATAAGGGCAAAAGTATCGCCGCAATCAATGTCGTGTTGCTTTGTTGTTAAAATCCACAAGCAACTAGTATTGCCTTGTGTCACGATGATTGATCAAATGAACCGGACTTCAGCTTGTAGATCAAATGAAAAATGATTGCACTCTTGCCAAGCCACGGTATACTTTTGCATGATTGTCAAAGCTAACTAAAATACACTTAGTTGAATGTGAATCGAACTTTCCTTGGAGATAACAATGTTGGTGAACAGAAGTTGTTGAATGAAACTCAAAGAAACCTTTAGTATCTATCAATAAGAGTACTAAAGTATCACGCACCTCCTAAATACGAGGTGATAACGTTCAGCATATTAAACGTTTTATTTCCAAACAGTGATCTCTAATATCATGTTGAACAAGCTAAGACATGCTCAGAACTCACTGTGTGGAAGTAAAACGTTGAAGATGCTGAATGAAAGAAGATATATATATAATGTAATTCCATTGGGTTCTGGAGATATACTTTTATGCTGACTAAGACGAAGAGTCACTAACTACACAAGGAAGTTTTCTGAGTGAAGTGTAACTTACAAAGTGAACTGTAGGAGAGAGTATAACATTCAACAAGTGATAGCTATCTCAAGCGTGAACATAAAGTTTACGAGTCGCCAGAATAGTCTCTACTTTGAGATTACGTTAACCCAATAATGACAATCTCTCCCCACACTATACAGCAAATTATTGAGTTATAAGAACTTTAATGGAACATGGATGGCGGTGTGTTGCATGGCAATAGAACTGGTACCATCGAATGTTTTGGGTGTAGGGTTAGGTTCCATGAGTCCCATCAGGTACTTCTTTCCATATCAAGTATTGATTTGTTTTGAAAAAATCTGTATGTCCACATCCATGATATATTCTACAATACCATGTTCAAGAATAAACTCACTCCAACAACTAATGGGACTTTTGCTTTCTGCTTTGCTTCTATGATCACAAACATGTTTTATTTTTCTCTTCGTCACAATATTTCATCTCAAATATTATTGAAGTTTAAGATCATATGTTGATTTCGTGTTTCAGTTTACCCAACATTTTATGTCTGTAGTTTTCTTGTAACTGTTGTTAGCCAATCCCACAATAATTGTAAGAATATATTTATTTCGAAAGCTTTCATTAATCTTTCAAATTAGAAAGTTTTGAGTTAGAATTTCATCGCTAGAATCTACATTGATGACAATTTTTGGCACATCCATCAAACTCTAGCACATGTATACAATTGTTATTTCAATTAAAAGTCAAACAAAATTATTATTTATCAATAAATCTAATCCAAGAATAGAATTAAATTGCGTACACATTTCATGAATTTTCTCGTGTCTTCATATATAGTCTATATTACACCTATCATCTAACGAAGGTAATAAGACATCTAATTTCCAGACATAGACTAAATGGGTTCTTTACTGAGTTCTCGCTTACGTGTTATTCCATACCGAAGTAACTATACAAGTTATTTTGCTGTAATTGAAGATGACGATGGTCTGACAAATTCACCTTGTAATTTCTTTGATTTAGCCATCCTTGAGGAATCTCTCATGAGAAAAGGAGCCCTTTGCTTCAGGGCTCAGGCTTTTCGATCCCTAGCAGTTATGAGCACCCCAAAAGAAAGAACGAATGTACTTTACCGGCACATATCGATCTGCAGTAGTTCAGATAACAACATAACGACAGAAGTAGTTTTCCAGTTGATGTAAGAGAATTCTACAGCCTCAACATTCTGACGCGTGACCCAAGGTGACCCATTTCAATTCAATGGCATAATTCACTTTTCCCTTGGCTGGCTTTACTCATGAGCTCTCTGAGAAGTGTAAGAAACCCTAACCGTAAGGGGCCATGCGAGGGTAAGAAGCACGAACCTACAACAAGGTGTTGTAACGTGTGAGGAAACTCAAACATATCCTGAATGTACCTTCCGCCTTTGGACACACGAATGTATCGATCAATCCAAAGGAGTTTTTCCAACAACAATCATGATATTTCCGAGTTAAGAGACTTGCCACATAAAGTTGCTGGAAGATCCTTCATATAAACATTCGAGCTATCAAGATCTAGCGTTCCTTATCTACTCCAGTGTTGGGGTAAAATCTATTGTACAATTAACTTACAGAACAAATCAGAGCCTTCGGGTTGCCCTTCTTGCAGTCAAGGCATGAGCATCGGGGACTGGGGTTGACAGCTGCCCATCTTCAGTCATATAGTAATAGTTGTAATTAATACGAGTAACCAAATCTGCCAGATGAGGAAAGTGACCCACATTGAGCCTGAATGACAAGACCTATCACATAAAAACATACAAATCGTAAGAACACTTAAAAAAGTCTTTTAAGTACTGATAAACCTCAGATTAATCTTTTCATCTATGTAATCTTTTCATGAACAACATCAACGGAAGTTGCGTAATGGAATGATCTACCCAAGATTGCTCGTCAGATTCACACCCAAAGATGCATAAAGCAACAGACAGTGAAGTCTATTATTCTACTCAACGTGAGGTCATAAAGAATCTGCAAGGCCTATGGCATTAGGGCAAAAAACACTGAGCTGTACAGCTCACTTATACTACTCAACAACCTCATGACTCTACACTACCCCAGCCCAACCCACCCATTTTGAGTGTCTTAACAACTCAAAGCCCCATAAATGCCTTGAGGATCGATCATCGCAGTTGTCCCAGTTGAGACAAACAAGAACAGACCATGCCTGAAGTAAACCTCCAAGATCACCTTCTATTATTTTGAGCAGCATTATTTCCCCGATAATTCAAACGATCTAACACCCCGATAGGAAGAAACTTCACTTTAGGGAATGGTAGCGTCTTGGACTTTAAGATTGTTAAAACTATGAGCAACCGCTACCCAGACGGTTATGTGCTGAAACGGAATTTCTCAAGCTTCGGGCGAATTTTGAAAGGAACGATAGGTTCAGAGCTACAAATGCAGCAAATTTTCATCTGATTGTATCTGACTTACTCTCATTAAAAAGACCATGCATTCGTCGAACTGCTTCTCAACACGTTCGATCTCGAGTTGACAACGGGCACTCACAGCAGAAGCACCCACACCATCGCACAAAACCCGCTGGATGGAGTAATAATTAAGAGCTAATCCCAAAATCGTTTTTACACGGCCTGCAATGAGAGTCCACTGCACAAAAAAGGGGCATGTATTTCAGAGAAACATCAAGAAGGTGGCTACTGCCTTGACCCTAGCAGGGAATATTCTAGGATTTACCAATTTAAACCAGGTGATGACTCACGTCAAATGGACACAACAATTATAATACGATGATCAATTGCGACGGCTTAACACGCAAGTAGACCGAAGAGTACAGACCTGGGAAGTACAACCTACAACTCTATCTGACGCAAAACCCGATGCATTGGAACTGTTAATTGAAAGAACATGATCGAAACAATGGCATGGCATCCTGCTGAAGATATCGACAGATTCAACGGACAGATATTCAAAATGTATCCAGAACATAAGCCTACAATCGAATTCCGGAAATAGAAAGCAGGCAGCTACGATCAGTGGGATGATATGCACATATAAGAGAAGGAATGGCACATCGTTAAACACAACCAGTGCAAACGCAGTCAGAACAAAGGGTGTAATAGTTCCTTGATCCGATGCGAGAAAAGGAACCAGGAACCATCATCATAATCCACCCGACGGGCATTACTCCATCGTCACGTGTGACATAGTGAAATGAAAAGGAATTATAAAACCACACAAAAAGAAAGACAACCGGAGTAACTGCAGAATAGGACACTTCTCCAGTGAATATATGAAAAGAGCCCGTAATGGAACTGAATAAACCTTGAGATGGACCACGAGAACCCTGACGACGTTAGCATGCGTATCTTCAAAAGACGCACATTAGCAGGTAGCTGAATCTGGATAATGGAACATACCAACTTGTCTGGGGCAACTAAACATTGCCGTTGAATAGAGACCAAGTAAGAATCGTGGCAGCTTTTTACTTCATCGAGTGATCGCGCTGACGACATCCCCTCACAGAGTTCAACCCATGCACTGTAAAGAACCTGCTCCCAATAACCGTTCGGTTTTCATAGGTGACCATCAATAACATTTAGAACCACCAGAGCAACTACCAACAGGTTCATGAGAACTGGATTGATTTTATTTGATTCGGATTGATCTCGTGCTTGACGAAGGTGGGCCCATTTCAGTTCTGGAAGCACACTATCAGTACATAGAAGGCCATGCCTTGAGATCATGCAACATTTTCCAACAGCTGAAGGCACCTGTTTCCACATAGAAACAGATGTGCACCAAATCACTCCTACCTCAGGTTAGTAATTCTACCGTAATATCTTCAATTCAAATCTAAGAAAACGAGTATAGGCAATACTTACTCTATCCATGACATACTGGTGCAGAGTATTAACAAAATGCATTAACTTCTGTTGCAGCAGCAGCCTCTGCTTGTGGAGAGCAGCATCTCCAACTCCATTCTGCGTAGAATTGCAACTGCAATTAGAAGTATTCACTTATCACTGAGTGATCAGCAGATATTGGTAGATTCATATTAATGCTAATTTTTCAGCTTTAGAGGTAGCATTCGACAACCACTTTATGAAACCAAGAGGTTTGTCCGAGATCCACGGGCGAACCGCTTGGAACCTTGCACAAAACTAAGCCACGTGCCTTTCCTCGGATTTCTATTGTTGATGAAAGTCCCTCTTAGAACATGTCTGTACTCTGTGAAGTAGGCTGGTCTAAAACATTATCAAAATTAGAAACTGCATCGAATCATAAGGTTCTCACCTTCCATGTCCATCGACAAGCTTTATCAAGGGCATGCTTAGCACGTTTAACTTTCAGTAGAAAGACCATAACCTGAAATTACATCGCACATGTGAGTGAACTTTCAAAGGCAGGAGTCACATCCTTCTGCGCTCTGTAAATTCATGCAAAGTGGCACGAATCTCACATGAGAAACTGTAACGAGAGGTTTAAGGATGAATGGGCAATGACCTGGTTGTATTTCTTAATTGCACTTTGATCGATGATAAGCTCTAGTGGCCATGCTACCTGTAAAATAAGACAAGGAGAACGTTAAACTTCAGACCATATACGGGCCTATTTACTTGAGCGAAGTCAGTGTTTTGATCGACTAGAAGCTCTGCAGTGACCTGCAATTTCGAGGGCTAAACTCCGATGGCAGAAGTGTGGAAAACAGACGGAAAATTCTGATAATATACGAAGAAACGCATATTTGTGATACTCTGGTTACAACTAAACGTCTCTGGTACTATAACGGTTACGTGCATGTGCGCAGAAATGGACGTAGAAAATGAAAAGAACAAACAAAAGACAAGGACATGGATTCATATAATTTAAGAGAGCAAGTTGAAGTTAACTAAGACAAAATGCGAGATAAAAATCAATATCATCAGCAAGCATGTAGAGAAAAGAGATGAAATTTACTTAAATTTTATTAAAATCCTTTACGATCGGCCTACATGCGTTGCCTACTAGCAACCCGAGATAAGGAGAGAAACTTAGGAGGCAAAGAAGAAAGAAAAACCCAACAGAAAGTTTAGAAGCATAAATCAACTCTAGTGATATGTCCAAAATGGACCACCTAGCATATCTCTCTTTCGATCATAAGAATATGGATCTCAAACCGCTAAAAGGGTAGCTCTTAATCAGTTTTAAATCCAAGAAATGCAAAAGCCAAGACCTATAAGGGGAAAAAAACCGAAGCTGACAATTTTGCGAGAAAGCGTTCTCGTGACTAGCTCAATAAGCACAACAGCTTTCACGTTCAAAATTAGAATTTACTACGCTCATTGATTTTCTGATCTTACAACTCGCTCAAACAAGATGTTCAGCTAGTGGAGTGAGAATGTGCGAGAACTGGATATTCATTGTATGTCAAACCTTGTAGGTGAAAAACAACGAGTCCAGTGTGTCAATGCCGAAGGAAGGAGCACGACCTCCGATGTGGAGAGGACCAGGACTAGAGGCAGAACCCCGTTCAGCAGTACTAGTCGAACGGGGTAATACCGTCGCTACCAAAGAATCTAGGGCCGGAATTGCCACTCCATGGGAAGAACTACGCACTGACTCCTGTACACGAGAACATTTGACCAGACAGAGTCAGAGCAACCGCAATTATGACGGCCAAAAAGGCTACACATTTGAAAAATAGACTCAATTGAAGCCAACTAGCCCGAAAGGAATCTTCACCTGTAGCATCGTGTTTAACTCATAGAAATCATCCCAAGGTTCTCCTCGGTCCAGTTTATTGAATAACACAGACGCAAACTGCTGAAGCAAATCACCTGATCCATATTATCATTAACTCTCACGGTCAGAAGTCAAAAGCTGTTATCAATCTCTCTCTCTCAGTATGGGATTAAACACGCGAGCACCAGTTTGCTGAGTCTTCCTTCAAATTAGTAACAGTCGTCCGCTTCAACAAACATAAACTTTATCAGCTGACTAGAATTACATTTACAAAACAAATATATGATCTAGAAGAAGCTGCATCCAACACTTTACACTAATCTGATGCCGTGATATGGAGCATGTGCATGTGCATGCGCCAAATCAGATACAGTTCAACGAGAAAGAGAGACAGAGAGACCAGAAGATACGGATAAAGAGATATCAAATATCTTTCCACGATAGTTTCCAAAGTGCTAATCTGTGGTTCCTATCACATGTTGACACATATAGATACTTCCTGCACGAATCTCAGCCCTAATGGACATCAACTAATGAAACGAAACAGAAATAAATCCGTAAGAGTGAGAGACAAAACTCCAACTCCAGAAAATGTTTTGGTTGCAGTAAAAGAGCACCATGGAGGCGTCAAGCAATGCAGATAACTTGTACCTGACGGGAACAACAATATTTCTAATCAAACTGATCTCAAATTTATTTGCCTGTCATAGCCTGAAGTCATTAGCTGAGCTGTTCTATAGCAACAGTCGAGGAAGGTGAAGAAGTGAGAGGGGTGGAGTTTAGGAGGAAAAGGAGAGAGAGGACTACAAGAGAATGGAGAGGGTTGTTCTGATAGTGGATTCCTTCCCTCGAATGAGTTCGTTCGGGGCTTCCAAGTATCAACAAGAGAACCCTATAGTAGCTTGTTGACCTGTAGAAATGACAGCCCCTCAATGTATTGCTCAAAATGGTCCCAATTTGGTCTTTTGACCTAGTCTGGTTCAAATCGTGTCAAAGGTGAGAAAAAAGACATGACTCTGTTAGGCGCACTGGCTGCATATAGGGTAGTTCTTCGTAAGTCTACCGTAAATATAGCTGCAGTCTATGGTCTGGTAAGGAAGAGAAAGCTGGAGGGTGAAAAGACTACACTGAGAAGATACGCACAAAAACCATCAAGTTTGAACTTGGTTCTTTGTGCGTAAGCAGTGAAAAAGGAACAGCGAATTGATTTATCGTACTGTGACAAAGGACAGAGTTCTCAAATTAGCTCTCGATTAATCTATTCTTAGCCGTTATTTGGTTGAAGCTCTATCAAATCCTTCTTCGTTAGGACAAGCTCGATAAAAACTGGATCGGTATCTCTACATACATGTATTCCGTTCGATAAGAACGAGAACTAGTGCGACGAAGAGAACTCTAACGCTAATAATCATCGTTTCCAGGGAAGTGATAGTTAGTTACTGTGAATAATATGAACGAGAAGATGCTGAAAAGAGATGCACCTTATACGACCTCAGACAAACTTGGGATCCGAATACTAATAACAAGGCACTTTTGAAACAATCGTTACCGAGATCAGACATACCAGATCCGACTAAGTAAATTGCTCTCAGCAGAGCCAATTCTTCCATGAGACGCCATTCACCCATGAGCTTGGCTAAAAGCTGGTGACCAACACGATCTACCTGTTTATAGGACAGTCACAACGATGACATCAGGTAGAGGGGAAAGTGGCACAGATTACTTCTATCCAAAAACCATCAACAAACCCACCGAGGTTAGGAACATCAAGCGATCGAATCACAACCATCAAACTTCCTTACAAAGTTCCTGCATCGCAAGCATTATCTGCTCGGTTTAATCACATAAGTAGCGTACAGGAAATAGACTGAACCGACCTGCCTCTGTATGGAAGATGTAAGGCACTCCTGAAACAAAACAATGGGTGAAGGTGTTGTCTTGAGGGCTCCACTCTGAAGCCGCTCGAGCACTCTTACAGCCTTCCGATTCGCTGTTAAAAGTGGCAATTGTTCGGCGATATGACATTTTTCCTACAAAAGGTCCTCACCGATGTGTTCAGCCAATAAAGGGAAATCTGCACCTTGTGCACTTGCACATAATTGTTCATTTCGAGGCTTGAACCGTCCTCCCACTTGAAGTTGAAAGTGGTATAGGACTCTTTCTAGCAAAAAACTTGGTAATCAGCGTCAAAATATGAAGAGGCCAAATTTTGGTAACCCTTACCCGAAAATGAGGAAGCATAGTTGGAAACGGTAGTAACTTTTCAATCGCAGCTAGATTTTGTCTCTCATGAACAAGTAACAGCTTCCCACATCCAAGTCCAGAATTGAAATCGGTGGATGTAGGCAAAGACGCCTCACCGCCTTCATATATGTCATACTGCAAGCTATTCCGGCATCCGTTTGCATTATAGATGTCGCCGTATCCCACAGAGAACTCCTTATGACCTCGGGATATAGACGACGTCTCCGATACACAAGATTTAAAAATAGCTCCCCTGAGCTGAGAATCATCCAGTGAAGACAACTGGCAATATCCTGCTATGTTTACCAACCCCTTCAGCACACTCTCTCTCGGAACTTCTGTCCTGTGAGAAAGAATGAGTGTTGTTCCAAAACTCTTAACAGCACATACGCCATCCTTTTCACCTGGTGCTAGCGTTGATGAACAAGCAATATGAAGATCTGATCCACAAACTGTGGTTGGAGGATAACTAATTTCAGGAAGATTTTCGAATTCTCTCACGTGATTTCTCTCGTGATTTCCCTGTTCAAACTCTTCATCGAATGGACGTTGATTTGATTCTGACCCTCTTGGTTTCAATGGCTCGGTAGATTCCAACTTGACTCTGAGGCTTTCATCTCTACTCGAAGATACATTAACCTGGTTAGAAACAGACGTTCTTTCTTTAGAGGCCTCTGATACGATGGTGAACACCTGATGGACCACATTACTTGAAGAGTCCCCCACCAGATTTAACAGTGACGCACAGAACTGCTCATACAAGGAATGTTTCTCTTCAAATGGGGTGTCACAGCCATCACTCGGTTTTGTAATATGAGAGTCAATGGTAGAGCAACCCTCTAGTTCGGAAAATTCCTTACCCAGATTTTGCACTAATGAAGAGAACCCGTCAGGAAGTATATGTGAGGGAACTTTAGATAAACCACTAGTGTCATGTGTACTTTCTAGGTTCCCTTCAGCGGAATCCCTTCTAGCATGTTGTAAAAGCTGTAGAGATTTACCAGCAGACAGTATTGCTTTGCCAAGAGGCTTTAAAAAAGTCGGACAGACCATATACTGAAGGGCATCCCCTTGTAAAGAGGAGATAGAGTCTATTGATGTATTGAGAAACTTCTGGCCACTGAATGCCCTACTACTTCCACCGGGACTAGTGCTCTCTAAGGCGGTGAACGAAGAATCCCTGTGACTCCCTGGGCTCTGAAATGGAGAATTGAACCTGGACTCTTGTTCGCTGAAAGCACTTTGATTGCGCATACGAAAGTGTGTTTCCCAGAAAGCGGAATCTTCAATAGAAACAGAATCGTCTTCATAAAAAAATAGCTGGCAAAAGAAGACAATCGCATCAGTATAAAGCGAAGAGCGGACCCATATTTACAGATTTAGTCAACCATATGCTCCTTTATGTAAAATTGAATACAAGTAAGAACACATGAATTATCTGCAGGATGGGAACAGCATTTGATCACATGAAAACTTGACAACGGGAATTCTTTAAAGTTGTTGTAGAACAAGTACCTCTCCAGCGGGGTCGCTAAGTACACCTTCTTGCAACCAAGCATCTAGACTCTCAATCATCGGCCGAATACAACCCACCAAAAGCAGAAGAACAGTTCCATATGCGTCTTCCTGTAAAATGAAAACAAATGATTAACTATACCTTACAGGCAAAAGATGACTCCGATGAACAGGCAATTACCAAATATAAGTAAAAGTGATTCGTGGTCAGCTAAAATTTCAACAACCTATCGCTATGTGATCGGAAAGCGCGTACGACAAAAACGAATTTTCAGATATAACGAAGGAGAAGACTGAAAGTTCAGTTTTAATGGTGCGCCATGCAATCTGAGCCATGAGAATGCAAACGACAAGCCTTGAGGAAGGCCTCAGAATATAGAGCACAGATAGAATTGACGTGTGAATGCAACTATTACACATCTTGAAGGCATCGATCTTGAAGAGAGAAGTGGGACGACAGGGAGTTTGGTGGGTCATGCGAAAGAGAGGCCTTGAGGTACGGCTTAAAATAAAGAAAAGACTTGGTTTTAAGAGCCAAAAAAGCTACGTCTCGCTAACTTCACGGAAACAGTCTGGAAGAGCTTTTTGAGAGATTTTTTTTTGTGAGGCTATGGCTCGTTGTCCAGATTACCTCGAAAATAGATACAATGAGACTGGATCTAGTACTGTTCTCCTACATTTTTACTTCCTGTGAAAGCGTCAACAATCAACCTATGTATTAAGATATGGTGGGATCCTCTCGCACCAGAGGAGATAGTGTTTCAATCAAGTATGTTATAGGCGTCTACTGAAATGACGCCTCCAATATACTGACAACCAGAAAACCAGAAATGAAATGTAAACGACTACGACCAGGGTTGCATGACGAGCAGGGTTTATGCAAGGTAACACGCTCGGAAGATTCACATGATCCCTCATCCAAATTTTCAAGAACAACAAAAACCGCATTCTCTGACGGAAAGCGTTTACTGTTCATCATCAGATATACTAGATTCTACGAGCATCAACAAGAACTACTCATGTGAGTATTTTGCATCTAGGGTAAGTACCTCTCCATCCTGAAGCAAACAGAATGCATCCAGTTCTCTATAAAGAGCAGACAAGATGTGTGTAGCAAGCTCGGCAGCGCTCACTTTACTTCCAAAAAGTCTGTCAGGTTCGGGAATTGCAACATTAATGATGTGCTCAAGAAACTCCGCACCTGCAAAAACCCTGCCATGAAAATGACATCAAGTTCCGTGCTACTAGTGTGGGGTGCCAGCACTGACTGTTCTATCAAGAGCAGAAAGCAGCCTAGGACTTACAATTACGAATATTTTATATTTATTTGCATACTCCTTTCATATTCACATGCATTTACAAACTTTCGGGCGATGAAATACAATGAGACACGTTACAGCCCACCCTGCTCGTTCTTATTTCACATTTCAAATAGCGGTAAAGCATTCTCTGCATGAGAAAATACGAGAAAACGACTCGGTATATATTGCAGACTGCGTACTCAGAATAAGTATCAGTGTTTCAAACCTTGATAAATTTGCATAAAGGTTCAAGAGAGTAACTCTAGTCGAGCCTTCAGCTGCCTCCAATTCCTTCTCAAGAGCAGCCTTTCGTAAACACTGCAGATGACGAAGCGAAGACATAACATATAAGATAGGCATACTGCATACCAGGTAGAAGAGTGAACAAAACTTGAAGATTCCAGCTCGCCGAGTCAAAAGCTATACCCGCTATCAGGATGTAAAAGTTGGAGCAGGGCGACAAAATCAGCTCATTTCACACATGTTCTAGAAGCCGCAGCAGTTCGGATTAGGAGATAGAAGATAATAGAGACCAAAATTCGGCAATACAGCAGTTCGAAATAGAAGAGATTCAAACCTCGAGTCGCATGAAGACCGCATTTGCGAAAGCCTCCAAGGTAGGATGGGCCTGTGACATTGGCTTCAGCCAGCTGTCAGTGGTATCTTTAACTACGCCCCTTACAAATAGTTCCACTCTGCGCAAACTGGTAGCAGCCCGAGTAAACATCTGAAGTATATTGTAGAGGCTTGATTGAGACAAGTCTGCCACATGGATACCATTCCTAACATGGAAATGCTGCAACTCTTCGTCCCAGGGCAACCTGTATGTTGGATATCCTTGGAGCACTTGAAGAACATCTCGCACCTGATTGGACACAGGCTTCGGAGTTCAGCGGAGCGGTGTGATTTGATACTACATGCTCGTACAAAACTAAGCCACGTATCTAAGTGAAGGGAGCTAAAGAGAAGAAAAAAAATACCTACTTAAGCTTCTAATGTATTCATATCGGCACTGGTTCGGACTCTTTTTGGCAATTACTGCGAAGTATTGAAGGGTACAAGTGCTCTCACTATCTTAGTTTTGCACAGATTTCGAACAAGACAATGTGCATCTCTTAATCATATACAAACTAATGCATCTCTACTGTAGCAGAACATCCTCCCAGTATTGTCAAAAGGGGAGGTCTTGTACCATCCTCGAGATTTGGATCTTACCAGAGCTGCCTCAGTTGTTTGAGATGTATGCTTCGGTGCAGCAAATGGAAGATTACGTGCCCGAAGAGAAGTAATGTGCTCTATCAGCGTTGCGCTCCTACGCTCACCTACTAGTTCTCGATAAGACATGGCAGATAAACATTCAACAGATTGTTCCGATTCCCACAATCACTTACGTGCAAAGAGAGTGAATTGAAAAGGAAAAGAAAGTTGATGTCCCTACGTACTTTCTTGTGGTTCTAAAGTATGGCCCATGACTTCAGCGTCCAGCGCAAGTCCCATTCCAGCTGCATAAACACAATGCATCATAAAATACTTCAGGTTCAAAGATCTCAAGCATTTCAGCTCCGAGAAATTCGACTTTAACACAACTTGCGGAAATATTCTACACGCTTCAGGACAACCTAAGTCATTTCCTCTGACTTACAATGACGATAAAAAAGCACCACATCACGGAAGTCGGGTTCAGAATTTTTATCAATAATCTGACCTCTTTTGTTACTTCACAAGCTCCATTTCTTGCTCAGCTCGGATTTTCAATCGTGCACATTCCGACAGGATCACGGATTTGACAAAATCATCCAATTCACACATTCGCATCAAGAGGAAAACGCCCTGCCTCCAGATCGGCAGATTCTTCAGTAAACAACCCCATTCTCTGATTGAAGACTTAAAAATCGCACATCTTGAGGAGCTACATGCGACGATCGTAGCAAATTCACTGTCACTCACTTTATCCACGAGAAGTTGCTCAATTCACTGCCATCACCAGGTTCGACAGGTCCGAAACCCAGCATCTGCTACAGGCAATCATGTCCCCTGAATTTCGCTTTAGATGAGAACAAATGAAAGATGAAAAAACCAGGGGTCGAGAGTCCCGAAAATCTGTCGTGAAAACTGCACTGCACATGAATTTCATGATTCCTCTACGTGCATTCCCGTCGTCGATCCAACATTCCGAGTCCTGTTGCTTGCGCTATGTTCGAACTACGAAACTCTTACATTTACCGCCCCTTGTCCGGAGTTGCGATCATGACAAGTTGGCGCCAATCACGAATCTCTTTCTTTTCGCGAAAATGGAAGCGAAAAGGCATAAGTTTGCGCCACACTTCGCTGGGCCCAATTTCCTCACCGAAGTCTCTGATATTATGGACATTGTTCGGCATCGAACAAGGCCGCTCGGTTCATAAGACGATGTACTAACAGGCTGCACTTTCAGGATTAAAGCCCATGGATTAGAAAAAGGAAGAAAAGCATAGAACTGCTTAAAGATGGAAGTCGATGCAGTATAAGCGAAAGTTGCTGAAAGTTGGATTTTCAGGAGTTCCTCAAGGTTCCAATTACTTCCTGTAATCAACTCATCGAAAGAAAATATATGGTCTTCTGGAAAAATTTGCGTTGAAAATGTCTCTCTCATAGTTGTAGTAATTCTTGAAAATTAGAATTGGCAATTTTTTACGGAAATAAGTGTCGACTCTATGATAAAAATTGCCGGTGAAATTTTGGCCATTCACTACTCACAAATTGAACATTTTCCAACCAGTGAAAGGACAAACTCTCTGACTAGGCGTCAAACTTTCTTCAACTCAAAAAGAGGTTTCTCCTGTTAATCCACCTAAACTTGAATGGGCTATGAAGGAAGTAAACTAACCAAAAATGACAAAAGGATTTATAGATCGGATTGCTGATCTGATTGCAATTAGTGCCCTTGGTACTAACTCCAAATTAGAGCAATAAATAACCACTAGAATAGCTGTGAGATATTTGTTTGATGGAACCCCATCCAAAAGTAAATAACTTGATGGTAACTATTAAGTTTCAATTTACCCGATTGGACTTCACCGACGGTCCACGTCACACTGTTCTAGTATGAATAGAAGACGGTGCGTGAGTCACACTTTGTGTTAAGTTCGGCACGTGATACTTCGTTTCGCCTCGATGAGTAGAGTCTGGCCACGATGAACCACTTTATTGAGAAGAATGGGACGGTAAGGTGGGGAAGATGAGAAAATAGCTCGTCCGCTGTTGGCGTCAGGTTAAAGAAGGTTCAGTTGTTATGTTTGCTACATCGCGGTTATCGAGCGATATCTTTTGAAGAGTTTAGCTTCGGGCATCCAACTCCATTGGACTTGAGATCTCGAAGCATGGATGTCGTGATAATATATTCGAATGATCGATGAGCTTCCTGAAGGGATGTTACAATTTCAGGTTTGTCATTTATTTGGCCATGAGAACATAACCGTACTAGAACACCTACTAGAACTCAACAACGGAACATGGGGGTACATCGGGTAAATTGAAACTTGATGGGTACCATCAAGCAATTTAAGTTTGGATGGGGTCCCATCAAGCAAATCTCTGTGAACTGTGAAGGTACAGCTTCAGCGGTAACGACAGAATTGGGTCATATTTAGCACAAAATGGCTTTGATAAAAGAATGTTGTAACACTCACACCATCCTCAATGGACTCCGGTGGATCGAGTTTTCGTCTGGTTGGAACTTCTTCGTAAATACGTTCAAATTTTTGTTTGGATGTAAAATTCACAAGATCCGCACACTAAATGTTTTCCTCTTGGTCGGGACATGCTCTTGTGTCACCAGAAAAGCAATGGGAAGCAGAAAACATGTAGGTACTGCTTGAAATGCATTTGTATGCATGAACTTCCATTTACAAAAAAGAGATACTTTTATAGATAACTTGCTAATTTAAGCCACTGAAAGACTCAAGTTATGTGTTTTTGATATTTCAAATCCTTCCTTCATGTTCTAGCTTGTATTTCGTATTAAAGAGTTTATGAAATTCTGTAATATGTTATTCTCTATTGTGTTACAACTCCATGTGCTAGTTTACCTTATTTCGATGTACTTGTATCAATGTTTCATGATCTATGTACGCAGATATGTATATTCAAGACTAAATACAAAGAAGCGGGTGTAGGAGTCGTTTTGTGAGTTGTCCGAAAGTACCAGAGTGACACACAAAACTGGTCAGACCTCATTTCCGATCACAGATGTCTGTCGTTCGCACATCGAGATACTCATCAACAATTCAGGCACAAGGAGGCACTACCTTTATATCCGCAGAATATAGAAACTTTAGGGTTTTTATCAACTTTTGTAATGTCTAAAGTACGGTGGAATTCAGGCACAAGGAGGCACTACCTTTATATCTGCAGAATATAGAAAATTTAGGATTTTTCTCAACTTTTGTAATCTCTAAAGTACGGTGGATTAGAGCTGCTCAAGTGTCAATCACAACGAGCTTTTGCACACTCGATCTAGTGGAAAAGTCAGCATACGCCAATCGAGACACTACATCTCGTTGAACAACACATGTACTAGAAGTTTTTCCACTTGTTTAACCTGAAAGTCACAATGGAGTAGAGCTGCTTGAAGTGGTAATCACAAATGGTATCTGTACTCATTCTTGTCGATTTGTGCACACACTACAAGTGTGTAGTGAGGTGCACAACGATGGAACTCTTGCGGTGAGAATATTAAGTTGAACGAACTTCCCTAGAAGCTAGCTCTGAAACCCAACAGTTCCAATGGTACTACGCACAGACTTGGCGGTACAAATTTTCATTCCTCATGTGTATCATGAGAAATTACCAATTTCGATGTAAATCGTGGTTTGAGTCAAATGATCAATATCAACAATTGCCATAGTAACTACTGTGTTTTATTTTCTTTACAGTCGACCTTCAATTCGTGCTGTTGAAGGATCTCGTGAGTGGACGTGCTTTGATCAGCTGAGCATCCCTGTCCTACAGCATATGACACGTCAACATACTCCTTTTCACCTTCTTGTGCGGCGGATTCTGCTCTTCCTAAATCCAGATCACGATCAAAGTCAGCATCCAGAGCAGGATCTGCGCTCTGATCGACATGGAAATCACCTGCTTCTTTAGGTGGTGACTTGATGGCATCGTTAACACTCACAATACCTGAAATCTCGGGTAGTCTTCCATCGGGCACAGGAGGTGACATACTCTCCACCTCTTCAGGTTTCCGACAATCAGGTCCTTCTTTAGATTGATTACTCTGAAGACTTTCTATGGCGTTTCTCCAACTATGAGCAAGTTTCTTCAAATCCTCGAAATGCCAAATATCATTTGGCTGCAAACATATAGCAGTCAAATTGGCAACATCGTCATGGAGGTCTTGCCGTACTTGGAAACCACGTTACTGGACAGATCCTTTGTGTTAAGTTGTAGACGATCAAGTAGCTTCCAAAAATGGGCCCAAAAGATAGTTTGATGGTAATTCCTGAAGTCACTTGTGTATGGCGATCAGTGAATTCGTTATTACATTCGATCAGAGTTAAACGAGGGGGCACGCGAAGGTACACTTGCAATTGTTATGGACAAACAAGATCCAGGGTTGATTAAGCAATTTGGACATACCGTCCGTATAGAAAATCTGCATTGGTCTTCGATCTCCACATAAACTTCCTGTGGATCCTTAGACAACGGAATTTCTTGCTTAATGCTCATGTTCTTGATGTCCACAATAATAAGCCTCGGTTTGTCAGTAAGAAGTAGCTGCTGCTTCTTCATACTCATACCACAGTACTTCCTTACCAATGACGTTCCAAGAAGCTTCTCGCCTGGACTGAGAAATCTCTGCCTAGAGAAGTGGGAGAAGACAGGGAAGACAGTTGATGTCAAGTTCTCATCTGATGCATACAGGAGTAAAGCTCTTAGATGAGTTCCAAACACAGAAAATCACGAATAAGTACATATGTTATCCCTACCTAAGCAAGCAATAAAGAGAACACAAAACAATCACAGTAAACAACCAAAACTAGAAATTGTATCGGCATAAAGAGGTACTTACCATTGTTCCAATTTACAGTCACCGGTCAAAGAACTGGATAAGTTTGGTGCAGAACCCCTCTTCTTTGCAGAAGGGCTCGTGGCCAAATCTCCTCCACCACTGACTTTCGGACTAGAAGCTTGCGAATTGGACGATGATCCAGATTCACTAGAGGATTCATTTAGGTTAAATACCTCTAAAGCGTCGCCAGCTTGTGCAAGATCCCAATCATCGGCCTGGCAAGATAATGGGCAAACAGTCAATGCTTACCAGGTTTCGTACATTGCCGAAGATTATGCATCCACTATGATGTACATGTTCAAGGCTGGAGAAAAGAGAGGAGAGCAGGAGATATATACCGCCTCTGTTGGTAAACACAATGGCGGAGGTTGACTGGTCCACAATTCATCCCATTTCACGCCGGAGAAGAAGGGATGTTCCTTCACTGCCTTGCAATCTGGCCTCTTCTCTGGTACCAAGTTCTGTTGTCAAAATTTTAGTGGTGAGTGCCAGTAGCATCATGAAAATTCTTCAATCATCCTTTGGCTACGTCAAGATTAGTGTGGATGATTAGATTAATATCACAACAGATAATTTAATGCACTCTGGCTTCGATAGCTTTGACATTGCCAGAAAAGAGGCGACAAACGAAAAGATGAAACTCGTTTGCCACATTCTGGACAGGAAAAATTGCATCGTGAACAACACCAACAAAAACAACAACAAAAACGCAAATTTTGAAGAAAGCTACATCCTTCAAAAATATAGTGTGTTGTACGCTAGACATAAGAACCCAATAACTTTCGCATTATAACAAAACGAACTTGCGAATACTTAGTATCGTACCAGTAAATTCTCGATCAAGTCTCTTGCCTCGGCTGGCATATGTTGAGGCATGATAAAATCGCGTGCCATCACTTTCTGGAATGTAAGGTACTCACTTGCTGCTTTGAAAGGAGGCTTCCCTTCCAGCATTTGATAGATCACGCACCCTAATGCCCACATATCAACACTGTCCAGCACACCACTGACAATAAACCTTGGGCCCAAATGTATAATTCATATGACGTCCGATCCCATAACACAACAATGTTATACATGAAGTCCAGAAATGGACGCATGGAAACGTACCGTGGAGAAATTGGCTTGCTGTTCAAAACCTCCGGAGCTACGTACTCTGCTGTTCCCACAAATGTGCAACTCTTTTCATCTACTCAAGCAAGAAGCTGTTAGAAAGTTACGCAAGAAGGTGAAGGAAGATCGGCACTACTCAAACCTCCAAAGGTAGCTGTAGAATTTAAATCAGAAACTAAGAGCTGAGATCTGAGATCTCGTACCTGGATCACAGGTGATTACACCGTTTGTGAAAGGCCTCAGCATCTTGGCACTTCCATAGTCGGCTATTTTCACGTGTCCTTCTGATGTGAACAATATGTTCTCCGGCTTTAGGCACAACACGAAAAGATGAATTCCTGGTGAGAAATAATCAGTAAGTGGTTGGCATTCAGTCTAAATGGCTCAACTTCGGTCTTTGCATAACGACTGTGAATGTCTACCTACGCAAATAGTTTTATGTGAGGAGACCGAAAAGACTGAGAGAGCTGGTCGTCAATCAAACACAAAAGAAGTGACTCAGTAGAGTACTCCATGAAGGGGTTAAGTTTACGACGCTGGGTCTCAGAAAATGACGTGTTCATGCTTCTATCAAAGATAACTGGTACGCATTTCCAGATTACTGACGCACTGAAGCAGATTGTTAAGGAAAATGGTCCACCGACACCGTGAAGGGGACAAACCTTGATATCACGATGTATCAAACCCTCGCTGTGTATATATTCCAGAGTATCGACAATCTCTGCCGCATAGAAGCGGGCTTCTTCGAGCGAGAGTCGACCTTTCTGGGTGCAAATAACCAAAGATTAGATATGATTTACGTATATCAGACTACTTAATTTGAAGATGCGCACTTTGAGAAGGCAAGAATCGCAGCAGGTCATTGAGCTAACAAGCCGACCTACCTTTCTAATTTGGTCAAAAAGTTCCCCTCCGTTACAGCACTCCATACCCATGTACAGACACAAACTGTCTTGGAAAGTAAAATGCAGTCTTGTGACGCCAGGATGGTCCAGCTGATCAAGTATGAGGCGCTCCATCTTAACATATTGCACCTTCTTCTCTCGCACAATATGTCTCTTTTCCATGATTTTTAGAGCGTACTCCTGTTCAGTGTCCCTTTTTTTCGCTTTAACCACCTATTTACGAGACAAACATCACAAAGACGTCAAGAAAAACAACAGAATGCGTTTGTCGTCATTAATGTTGAAGTCTTGAACGCAACGAGAGGCAACAGATTCATGAACTCTTTTGAGCAAACGACTTAAGCATTTGCAGTATTCAAAGCTTGGGCGACAATCTCTGGCGTGCGCAAAGGATGAGCGGATTCCATGTAAATCCAATGCACTATCATACCTTCGAGTAAGAACCCAATCCAAGGATCTTTCCAAACAGAAAATGATTCTGGGTGAAATTCTCCTGTGGAGCACGGAATGCACCAACTTTTCGTTCCTTCGATTCTCCATCGGTCTGCGGCGGATCCAGCGCCATTGCTGCCCTACCTCTACCCCAGCGCTACCCACAGCCAAATTCGCGTATCAAACTGTCCAGCGGGTGCCAATTCCTACAGCTCGAAATTCAGCACGAAGAGATAATATAAACAGAGAGTTCATCATCCCGTGCCTGACGCAATAGCTGCTGCTCTCAACCAAGAGCCGCCAACAACGCCCATGTAATTCTTCACTCTACTCTCCTGCACCGCCATTCGAAAAATCTCACCAAATTCTCCCGGACTTGTCCTCCCGTCCGCTGCAAAATATATGCTCGTCCGACAACAATTCAAAGCTCCATTCTAGGCGAGATAAGAAACCCTACACTCGTACAAGTGCCGGAACGTTGCACAATTGAGATCCGGAAAAGATCGTCACCGTCAGAAGATCCTCGTCGGCACGAGACGCAAAATTTCCGCCTTTTAATTCGAGCTTTCAGACCGGCGCAGAGCAATGCAGGTCCTCGTTGGTCGTCGTCGCAAAATGGAGTGCATTTGACCGACCCAACGACGGACTGACGGCCTCGCTGACAGCGGCAGCAACAAGGCCAAACACGTCGAACTCGTCGATCCAACCGATGAAATGTAGGCAATTTCAGCCTGTATGGAATCGGGTGATCGATCCACCACCCACGTCCAGACAGACCTGACAGACTGACTCCGACAATCGGCACACCCTTATCTCCCCGGAGGAACAAACGACTTGCTTCGCACCAGTGGTAAAGGCGGATTTCGAGCGACGTATCACAAGTCCGGGACCGAAGAACAAATGTCTCCACCAGCAACAGCACTGCAGCAAGGGCGGAGGAGAAGAGCAGAGATTCGAAGGCAGCGAGCACCCAAGCAATAGCACTGCATTACAATCAACAGCACTGCACACCACAGTCAAACACCAATCATCACCCGGGCCGCGACTGCCATCGAGATAGAAGATGATGGGACCCAGACAAGAAACGGATCAAACGCCCAAGAAACCACGGCGGGCTTGGCATGCACAATCTTCGCGCTCCAAGCAGGCCGAGATTCTAAAGGGAGTCAGCGTGCTCTGCTCTGCTCTGCTCTTCTTGCGAAAGATTGAATCTTCGCGCACTGCTATCTTGCGTTTGCGTGGCGATGCCTTGCGTTGGCTTCGATCAGAAGAATCGAATCTAGCCGGGGACGTACGAGAGATAGGCGGCTTTTGTTGCGCCTCTTCTCGTGTTGCGGCGCCACGCTGTCGCTGGCGTCCGCCGTCTTATCTGACTCCCGCATGGGCTTCGGGCCGGCTCTGCGACTTTGGCGCTGCTGCTCGGGCGTCGTCCGAAGAGACAGACCGGTGGATAACCCCCCGCCCTGCCCGAACGAACCGGAGAACACTGCGTATTACTAACAGTTTCCGGTGGTCGCAATGCTGGCGAACCAGATCCTGGATGCCGCCATGCAAGCATATCCATCTCGTCGTAATGTTTGCCGGGGATGGGACATTCCCGAGCTTTTGCCGAGCACAGATGTAGCCCAGGTCCTACCGGAATGAGACTCCCGACTCCTACCCGACGGGAACTGACCGGTCACCGCGGTCCCCAGGTACAGAATGTGAACGGGCAATGCGCTGCTTTAGCCGGCCAGTCAGTCACTGGCGCACGGTGTCAATGTCAAGGTCATGATGACACACACCAGTGTCTGTCCGTCCGTCTGTCCGTAAGCTTGCTCAGGTCTGACGGCCACTCTGTCGCCAGGAGTCGGCTTGTGTGCGTAATAAGTGCGTGCCCAGTTGCCGGTGGCCTCGCCGGGATCTGAACTTGCAGACTGAAAGCACGACAACCTTGGGCTGCCGCAAAGTCTCTACGTGGTTGACATCCTCACAGTTTCTGTAACCTCGTTTCCTTTAGCTAATCCTTGTGAGATGAGATGAGATCCAACATGCCCAAACAAGCAAAAGAATTATTGCAAGTAGGAATCGTTTAATGACACCACATTTAGAAAACTTCTTAATTTCATACTATGAGATTATTCTTCGGCCTATCTACCAAGATGCGATTTCAATTTGGTATTTTTATGCATTGGATTGATTAGACATGCTTATAACTCTTTGTTCTTTAATTAATGAATGGAAAATTTAACTACGCATGATATTGTCCTTGATGTTATGTTGTATACTACACATGACATATAGAGTTCATTTGAATGTGAATATTTTGCATGAAGTTTTAGTATACATCGCATGTGACTTGGTATGAGGTACATTTTTATTTGATTCGTCTATCAATATGCTTCGTTGATCATTTGGAATGAACAAGAGAATGACAGCTTAGACAGCGAATAGGGGGAGTTGGCCTATAACCTATCTTCAACAGTTGGAACTAATAGCGGTGTCCATGAAAGGGAAATAAAGATTGAGAACAAGAATTTTTATTATCATCTATCCAAACATAACAGATAAGGACCCAAAAATAAATACATACAAAATAAGTCTTTCTTATGGAGGGCGCGTACGATGACAGCGGGTAAAATCTCTCTTTGTAAATCTTTCATTTAATCCTGTGATTTAGATGGAAATGATGAATAACATCATTAAAAAATAGTAATATTTTAAAATCATTTGTGAATGATCCAAATAAGGTCATTATTTGATTGATAGAGAAATCGAGAAGATGATGCAATCAATTGCGATGATTCTATATCATCATTAACGATTACACTTACAATGACGCAAAAGTGTGGACTAGATATTTTGATTACTTGCACTTACTAATCAAGTCACATTCATTGCATTGACTTGATTTTAACAGATCTGTACTTTGTTAGAGAGTATCAAGTAATTGTTACAAACATTGTGGTTATAGATTTTCCATGTCATCATATTTATAAAGTGTTATCCTCCATCCTCTTTTATGTAAGTCAAATGGATTTTGAACAAAAACATATTCTCATTACAGAGATGGGAAGAGATGTCACATCTTTGTCGCCCTAACTTTGTAAATGTAAAGAAATATAGAATAAATTTCATCTTAGAAATATCACTCGTTACAATTATAAAAGAAATTTTTATGCTGGACAACATGAAAAATTTAGTTCTGTATTAAAAGATTGAACAGATTTATTTTCATCAACATGTATTACATCTCTACGAAGACCACCAGGGGAGAGGGCAATCCTTATGAAAGCAATTTGTGTTTAGATAGTTGACTATCTTGTGAAAATATATAAATGATATGAATTTAGAAAAAAATATTTAGCATTGCAATTTGTGTTTAGATAGTTGAATATCTTGTGAAAAACTATTAATGATATGAATTTAGAAAAAAATATTTAGCATTGTAATACTTTAGTGTCTAAGCCACATTACTCTTGCGTTGGGTGTGCGTTGGCGTGATATTTCTTTTTGCTATATATGTCTTATTCTGAGAGAGAGAACCGAGTAGGTGAGAAGTAGTTAACTGAGTGTCCCAGTGGCGGACTTAAAGTCCATCCGCTTCAGTATATTCTGGAACCATTCGGAAAGATGGGTGTTTGGTTGAGAACAGAAGAGAATGAGTTGTCTGGGCACGATCCGATAGGATCAGATCCACGACACACACGATCAAGATGCAGCTTATGCTGGTCACATGTGTGCTTCATTATGACATTGTAGCTCTGGTCCGCACGTCCTGTTGAATCCAAAACTTCGCTGGAACCGATGCAACCTGAATCCAGCCACAGAAGACGACGAGAGAGGAAGCTCAGTCCGCCGCTGATGACAGAGTCTCAGCTTATGCCAGAGAACTGCAGCTCCTCTTCCACTTGCAGGCTAGCTCGCTCTGCCAAAGGACAAGAATTTGGTCTAGTCTAGAAGATCCATGCTCGCCGGGCCCCAACGAAGTGGGACAAAGGCATGAGATGAGCTCCACAAAAACATCCAGCTCGAAAGGATGCGTGAAAAAGAGCACACCAGTATTAAATGTGTCGATGCTCTGGCAGCTTCCATGAGGTATCATCCCAAGTTCACACATACGCTGAGGAGCGTTCTATGTGACCTCGCACGAATGAGGGAGAAAAACGAGTAGAGGTTCGCAGAGGTCAACTCTCGTTCAATGTTTGAGCACGTGCTTGTGTAGCACGATACAAGCACGTGCTCAATGAAGCAATTCAATGAAGCACTGAAGCATGCACGAATACCCGGGTTCTCAGCTTTCTCAGGTTCGTCCGTCTCGTGAGGAACTGATGATTTATCCATCTTCGAGCCTCTATCGTCTCCACCAACTGCTTGACACAAACACTCTCGATGCAGAGCGATCTGGGGGTCTGGTCTGTCTGTGGCTTGCTACCCTAACACGCAGACTGGAGTCGTACGCCCAACCAGCTCTTCACGGATACCGCCTTTGATTGGGACAGGGAGTGTACTTGCGAGCGATCCATGGCTGCTCCTCGGCCTTTAACAGAATCATGAAAGAGTCGCTCGCTGGAGAAGTTACGGATGTCACAGTCCTGGATAAATAGAATAGGTTGTCAACTGTCCTGCTTTTCGACTTCTCCTTCACGCCCAGAGAAGATGCACCCTATACTTATGGAGAGAGACAGACCTGCTGTCCATGGTGATCACCCACGTCCTACGCTAAGAAGCAACGTGGAACGTCTCGGTGGTGACGGTGGAGAGCCCATCACAGGTCGTTGGTCGCAGGCAAGTATGTTTTGTCTGGGCACAAGCAGGCAAAGCGAATTGTTGTGTGATGGGCAAGCTCTTGAATCCAGAGAGGGTCTCTCAACAGCAGCAACTGTGAGAGCATTCTTGTTCTTGCTGACGCAATGTAATCTGGTGGGATCATGTCCCCAAGAAAACCTTAGATAGATTTGGACAGGAGATCTGCTGGTCTAGCTGGAAACATGTTTCTCACACCGACTTCATTTCACAACCGGAGGTTACTAGATACTCACCCGTGATGACAGGCAGGACCATCATCACCAACGACTCGCCTGGGTCAGCATTCCCTTACGCACACCTGTAAGCAATTTGCTTGAATTTCGTCACCTCACTCTTCTTAGGTTTCCGAAACATGGAAAGCCACCTTGAATTTTTAATGTTGTCAAGAAGATGCTGAAAATGAAAGGAATCATGAGCCATATCTCTTATAATGCTTGACGAATTACAAGACAATAAGATCCAGACTTACTGGTCACTCACAAAAGGGGGAAGGATTCTTCCGTCGGCTGATAGATCCTGAAGAATGAGGTTGCAGCATACAAGAAGTTCAACTTTTATGGAGAAGTACGATTGCATGTTCCTCCAACATGAAGGAGCCTGATGTTCGTCAAAAGTCTAGTGGGCGACCTAACGTTTGAAACGCTAGTACTTTGCTACTTACCTCCATCTAGCTCTTGCTCCTCGTTGACCAGTCTGTACATACATCTCTACGATCTGCAGATGGTAAGAAGACTGAACCAATCGTATTTGGAATTGAGATGAAGAGTTCTAGGCATCCAGCAAAAGATGCATATAGCCCTCTGCCGAATGTTACGCCGGTCATGTTCAGCATAAGTAATAAACAAAATATGTTCAACTCATCTTAGACATGCGTCAGAGTATTAACGTCCCATTACCCACTACCCTATGCCAACTTTGTTGGCAAGATCTGGCGGTTGAGATGAAAATAGTTGAAAGTGTGAAATGTTGACCAAATTGAGGACCAGCCTATCGATAATATATAACATGCCTGGTGTTCTACGACGCAGAGCAGGCATCACTGACCTAGATAATGTTCTTAACTCTCCCTTACCGACAGGGAAACCTTGATCATTCATTCTTTTTTCTGTCCAAAGACTGAATTACCTCTTACAGACAATCTTTGCCCGCCGTTGCCTTGTTTGAAAGCAACCGGGTTTAGAACATACATAGTCAACCAGTAACTGTCACTGGTTGTGCACTGGCTTAGATTCTAACATCGGTACATTAGCGCATGCCTGGTTTGCACTCTAATTGTACGTGAGGTTAAAAAGAGGAAACTTCCAACCTCCTGCCCACAATGCGTCTCCTACCTTGGACATGAATAGAGTAAGTGAGTAGATAGCAAATACGAATGGGAAAATTGTCAATGCAGCGGTTATATATTACTAGCTCGCAGACACATCAACAGGGTCATCTAACCTTCCATGCACAAAGACTTTCAGTTTCTGTGTTCGGACGTTTCATCTGTCAGTCGCAAAGCGAGAAGAATGCACAAAATTGTAATAAGACGAGCCACGCTACCCACTGAGCTGCCTTTTTCACCAATCCCCAATTGCCCACATACAAGGAACTGACAGACAGAAGTGTTGTAGTTGGGGTCGAAGAGAACAGTGCTTTGTGGCTCTCACTTTGTCAATCATCCAACTGCAACCAGTTCTTCGTAGTAACCAGACACCTCATCCAAGAACGATATTAGGAACGATAGGGCTGAAAATTAATCTTTTCGAACGAAAAGCCGAGAGGAGCAAAATCGACGAAGATGACAAAGAATCACTGTATAGACATTGATATATATTTATATTGCTTAGAGCGGGGCGAGGAATCGTGACTTCTAATTCTTCTACAGATATCCGGAGCTTCTTGAGGCTTAGAATGCGGGTACATCATGCAAACTGCCGCTGACCATCTGTCTTTACACCAACCTAGAGGCTGATGGCAAACTTGGTTAGATGTATAGAGGATACTCTGACTGCGACCATGGATGATCTTGAAGTGAATTTTCGTTTTGTAACACCATCGTACCTTTCCAACCCGTCTTCCTACAGACTCTTTCACGTCCGTATACTACTTATGATGATTTCATGTACACGACAACCACTACAGTCAAGACTTCTACTTGAGAGCCACTTTCCTCTTCATATCGTACATGTAACTGGCGACAACTACTATGGCAGTGACAACTACTCCAACTCCAGCTTGTGCCAAAATAGTTGACGTACTAGCATCCACTTGAGCTGATTTGCTGCCGGAGCCATACAGCTCTGCTGTGCATCCCAACTCCGATAGTTTCTTGTGCGAGATAGCGTAGTCGTGGAAGAATAATTCTTCGTCCTGTGATACGTCAGGTCCACGCAAATTATGTCAGTTCTTGCAAAAGACCTCAAATTGCGAAGGAACTGCTTCAACTGTTCTTTCATTCACCAAGATGGACATGGCGCTTACACGATATGCCGCACAGGACGCTCAAAAATCAGTCATCATAAGTAGCTCATCGCGAAAGCATGTCGAAGTAAGCGTAAACAGACATGCAATGTGTAGGATAGAAATATGCATGCATGTAATGAAGAAAATCTAAACTGCAATAACATCATACTTCGACAATGGCAAATAGAATCCGTGAATCGAGACCGTGGAATCTCTCGTCTACATCCATGGCAAATAGCCACCGTGAACCTTTCCTGTGAGAGCAAGCATATAAAACAAGCCGTACAGATATTTATTGATTCATTGATTCAAGTCCTCAAATCCATTGGCAAGAAAAGATGCGAGAAAGTAACCTTGGCATAAGCTTCGACGTAAGTCCGGAATTTCGGATCTTCCATCAAGGCCTTATCAGTGGCCAGCATCAAGAGACCCTCAGAACCACCTTTTATAAGTTCCCTGTAAAATTGATCGATAAGAGATTAGAGCATCGCCACACCTTATAGCTAACCGTCAGAACTTGCGTAGCACGAACAAATAACGCAGAGACGGGGATAATCAAACTAGTGACGCTACTCGGAACTATTTATGAACCCTTCGACTATTGATACGTAGACTCTTCTTACTGCTGAGTTTCAAACTATTATACTAATCTTACACGTTTGAGTAGAATCTCGATGTGTCAATAACCCAAAGAACCGGAAAAACACCAGAGAAATACATTACAAATTTCACTGAACTGATCAACTCATTACTAACGTGACTTCCAGGTGAGAATGACCTCAGGGATATGGAAACATAGACACTGGTAATACACCTAGTTTTCATGTCCTCCCTTCAAAGAAAACAATCAACGAGAAAAAAACCCTACCGCTGGACTATAACAAAATCTATCCCAAATGACGATCTACTTACAAACTTCAAGACGGGAATTTACAAGAACTTACACAAAGTAAGAATTATCAAACTTCAGAGGCTCGGAGGTCCAAGGACCATCAAATCCTGACCTCTCCTTGTGAGCTCTTCCCTGTAACAGAGCCAAACACAAGACTCAAAGTCAAATATGGATCGATACATCATGGAGAAAGCTCTTTACAACCTTTATCTACCGATTTTCGCCACCAAATTTGAAAAAAGAGGCCAGCAAGTACAAAAAGGACATAGAGAAAGAAAAAATCTCATCAATCATCTTCAACGTCTCTGGAAGTTGCCAAAGTCATAAAGCTCACCAAAGTATGGGCACCAGAAAGGGCAACGATGTCTTGGTCTGAAAGGCCCATGCGATGAAATATGTCTCTCAGATGCTGATGACCTGTAATTTTGTACATACGACACCGCACATTAATAATGGAAGGAGATGCTAGTTATTCTCGATAAGCTCTATTCTTCGACGACCACGAAGTACACTAAACGATGCTGAACAGTCGGCAGAAGTACACAATGTATCTGTGTCCACTCTTACATACCCTTGGTTGCATCTGGAAGGCGACCCTCTGGAGTACAAGCAACGGAATCCTTACGTCCAGGGATGAATTCAATAGTTGGACCTCCGGTGACTTCTACTCCAACCACACCACCTAACTGCATTCACCCATCCTGCACATTAGATATTATGGTACTATGTCGCAACACATAAATGATCTACATTGATCATTCTGCAATAATTCTCTTCACTCCAACTGACTACCGCTTAGTTCTTGACGAAAATTTGCCTATCACGATATCATTTGTGAAGAAAGCATTTCATTTGTGAAGTACCAATAGAAGAAAAGCTTCAAACTCCTCTCTATCTAAAATTAAATCCTTTGAAGGCTCCCTACTCCGTTGAACGAGGGAGCTTCAACATTTCGATAGACCTTACGAACCACATCTTACAAGCGAGTAACTTCACCCTACCTGGTATATATCTGCGTACGTAAGGTTGGGGTACTTGGCCTTGAACTCTTCTGCAAAATCCAAAACAAACAGAGGAAAAGACAAGGTGAACACAAAAAGGCCTTGCGGCATTACCAACGAATTCTTATTACTTGGTAAAATAAGACAATTACAAAATTGACATAATAACCATTGACATAGCATCCTGAAGTATAGCCTTCAATATTAACACCAAGAAATTTGATCATCCGATCACATCAAGAGCATGCCACTGCAGTACTGGGCAAGACACTAATATGCTCCTGATTCAATGCCTGTGAAAATTAAGCATGACTCTTGTAACTTCGGACCAAAAGTTTTCACACGTCTAAGGTAGAACCAGACTTCCTTACCACACCAATCGATGGCCTTCTTTAAGCCATTGTTTGCTCCATGAACAAACTCTCGCTCGCTTCGAATAGATCCATTAGCTCCGCCAGTCCTCGTGGCAGCATCGTAAGTTCCTGCGTCGTGCCACCTGAATTTAAGTGGACAAACGTCGAAGGTGTGAGTTGATATAAGACTTTCAATAGTGCCTCGGTGAACAACGCACCATCTACCCACTTGACTTTGACATCGAGCGGTCCCAATTTTACAAGACCCGAGGTAAACTGTGTTCAACAAAAACAAAAAAGAAAATTCTCCGGAAAAGTTGCAGCCAACTTCATTTCAGTCTTGAAATTGCGCAAAACTCCACTGAACGGGAAATGTTTCAGCTACTCAATCCAAAATTTGCTGTAGGAAAGTGTGTCATCTCAAAGATTGCACACATTGCAATCTTCTGTGCTATCCACGCAGGGACGACGAATATGTTTCTAAGAGATTCAGGCATGCCATGCCGCTCACTCCACAACCACGCAGAATGACTACTTTATCCCGATTCGACTTTATACGCAAATGTCCGCTATTACGCCTATGACCCACTTTCTAAGACAAAGTAGTGGCGGGGAATGTAACAACAAGCGTAGCAACTCCCCTTAGAACAAACTTCAGTGTCAATATCCAATACAATCACATACTCGAACAGAAGCTAGCACGAAACTGAAAGCCAATGAGCAAAGAAATAAGAAAATTGTTGACACTTCATTGAATATGAGAACATACAGCCAAAAACTGAGACGTATCTGAAGAAACTCCGCTCAATTCTCTGCAAGCTTCTCCAACAAGATTCCGTGGAGGGTGAATTCTATGCTGTCCAGAAGTAAGATGGCAATCCTGCAATGCTAACATCGGCTAATGCAAACGGGATGGAGCAAACAGGAGCTGTAACGCACCCGAGGCGGACCATCAAAGGGGCACAATTCTTCTCGGCGATGAAGGCACGCAAATCGCGGCGAAGCTTCTCGATGTTCTTCCTGTAAGCGCTATCCACCACGGGGGCCGGCATCGTGACGAGCTTTCGTGAGAGTGGGAGAAGGCACACGCGCACGCGCCTGGCACAAGCAGATCTCGCGAGATGAGCAACAGCGGTTTCCAAAAGCCTTGACCTGCCTTCCTCGGAGCCCACGAACGAACAAATCGAACTCACCTCGGCTCCGCAACCAATCAATCGAAGGAATTCGTGGACTGGATTTCAAGGTCCGAGGCGGATGCAGCCGCGACAAGACAAGCACCGCAGGTCTCCAGAACCCCGTTGCCCCTTCCCGGCCAAGAGAGCTTCCACGACTCACCCACCGCTGCTTGGTCCCCGTTTGTCTCCCAGTCTCTCAGGCTTCGGATAACGATGCTCCGTTCCTACCCATGTCCCGCCATCGTACCCCTCGACGTCGTAGATTCGACTACGGTTCCTCCGCGGGCCCCGGGCAGCGGCAGCCCATCTTCCCCCCAAATTAAGCAACATCATCATCTGAGCCCCTGCACATTCCCGAAGTAATGTGCCGGCTCCCCAACGCGAAATTGCTCAGCCCGATCGCCACCGTCCTTCTGATCGACGGTCGTGGTGTGGCCTCTTCCCAGTCGCCCGATCACTAATTTCCTTCGCTTTCGAGTGTGACCATCGCGAAAGCGTAATTACGATGGCCTGAAGGGCCCATTCCTTTTTTTCCTTTTCTTCCTCTTTTGTCTCTACCCGGGAAATACCAATTTCCTATTCGTCCATGCTCGGGTCACGGCCCTCACCGGGCCGGGCAGCGTCCCATACAAGAGTTTCGACTGATAAGAGATAGCTTTACGGCGGCGGTCTCCGTTCGGCGGCTTGTGTATTTTGGCGGCATTCCAACGGCAAAATAAGCGGACGACTGCGTTATGCTCAAGTCGCTTCTATTTCTGGGATCAGTTGTTGGGAAGCGGGTGGACCTTTGGACAACAATTAGAGACGAGCCTAGCCGAGCCAGCGCGAGGTAGAGACCGGGTTTCCACCATTAGAAGTGGTTAAGTGATCACCGTGCACAATGTCAAGCCAGGAGTTTGGTTTGAAAATTACGGGTTTTATTTATGAAATTTAATTATGCATTATTGCGTGGTATGCCGGACCATTGAGCAGAGACTTACAGAGCTGTGATTTACTGTAACATTATTAAAATTGCGTTGCTTCGATGAGTCTATTGTTACATTTCTTTAAAGAGAAAAAAGGTTAGAGTTGGAAAACAAAAGTTAGAGTTGTATAAACTGATAACTTTGTCTATCCTTGTATTTGGAGACTTTCAATGTAATCTAAGATCCAAAGAGGAGTACAGTCTAATTTCAAATATTCAACAAACACTGTTTACCAGTTGACGTCATGGTGATTATGCTATAACTTTCATCCCCAAAACATAAGAACTACATCCAAATATTGCTAATGATGTTGTAATCATAGAAGCAGATAAACATATAGCATCATGGGTGATCACATTCTGTCTTTCATATGATTACTAATCATATTGACATTTAGAGTATTCCGAACAGCATCACATTCAGGGGTGAAGATGCACATATATCAATCAAGCTAAGGTGGATTCTTCTACCCGTTGAAGAAGTAAATCGAGTGAATGGTATAACCTGATAGTCAGACCAAGATCCAAAGTCACGCAACCTTCTAGAGCAAGACCGACACCACAGTGAGTATTCATATCCTAAGAAGTTTATCGAGCTTATAGATATGGTGTGAACAAGAAACCTAACTCATTAATAGCAAGAATCCCCACATTTGCTCAAGTACTAACACTGACCCAAAGTAGACTTCTCACTCACAAATTGAATCTGTCTCAAGTCAATGGCGTCTCTAAATGCATAACCCCTTCTATGGAAATAATAAAGGCCATCGCACCTCCAAGGACTGCAACCTTGATTTTTCTGAGCCACTTCCCAGCCAACAATGGAGGGCGAGATTTGAGCTTCAAAGTTTTTGTCCGGTTGGAACAAGAACAAATGGAAAAACCGCAATAGAGGATGACTAGAACATAAAAAGGAAAGTAGGGTCGGCTTGGCCAGCCCGGTCGCCCATTGCCTTTGTCTACAAAAATGACCGCTACCTGGTTATGCATCGACCACAGCTCGTTCAACTTGCAGCACACAGAAACAATAACGAAAACCTCCAACCTAAAGCAAACTCCAAACTGAAAACGGATTGGAGAAAAAATGCCGGAAGTATGCAACAAATAAGAACCAGCAAGAGACTACGAACCAAGGCGACAATGAAGCAGATCAAGAAAAGAGCCCACAACAATTCAGGCCCACGAGACAGTTTGGAAAGATGAATGTTGATGGCATCGAGCAAATAGAGTATTTATATGTTGAACAATTCTTAGGCTCCAAACAATTCTTAAGAAAAGATAGTGACTTCAAATATTTCTTCTTACTTGCACGCGGAACATCTTCACTCTTCTCCACGATAGTTTTTTCTTTTGATATGTTCCGAGCTTTTGTGTTTTCCTGTCTAGTTGTAACGACACATAAATACTAATATGAAGAATAATGGTATAGATTCGATTCCACGAGGACAAAAAAAATACCAGAGATTTAAATACTGTCATGTTTAATATTCTATTGACGAGTTTTATTTCTCAGATACATGTCACTTCCAGAAGCATCTACAACTATCAACCCAAAGGCTATACAAATGCAGTGCGTAATCACATTATAATCTTGAAATATATCCAATAAACACCACAGAAATCGCAAGCGAATCTACACTTTATATTCATGGGGGAAACTTCCCAAGGTTACACGCTCAGCCCGCTACACCGAGCAACCAATCTACAGGTTTGGTTAAATCTTGAGCTACATTATGCACCACTCAGAACACCCGAGTTGGCTACTCTACTTCAGATGTGGTATCTTCAACAAACCAAAGCAACTCTTGCACTGTGTCAAAACACATACTCACAAACGTGCGGAGAAATGCAGACTTAAGACTGAAAACTGTATCATGGAAAATCTCCCACCAGGTAGTATTGAATCACTTCATTCACAATGAACACCATGAGTCATCATCCGCTAGCTGCGAGCCCTCATCAAATGCGACGTCCGCGGACGCAGCAGTTGTCACACCTGCAGAGCTCCTGACTACTCCTATACTACGCAAAACACATGTGAGCTCTAACTCTAAGTTCTCCCTAGTATCTTTCAAACCAGATATGAAAGAACTAAATGTTCTACCTAACTATTGATGTCCTATCAACTCGTTTGCTTTTAGAACTCTCGATCTACGCTTTAATGATTCTAACTTCAACCACTTTGTGATCTAGATCTCGTAATCCACATAACCGCGAAGGCATCATTCTACTCTCGCTCGCAAACCAACATTTGTATCATGTTCTAGACGTCTGCTAGTCGCCTCTGTCTCCTCCAATTTTGCTTGAACAGCGGCCAACTGCTCCTCAATTGCCAACAGTTGAAACATCAACCTTCGGCAATCTGTATACACCTCTCTTCCGCGCTCCAACTTTGAAGATATGGCAGCCTCGCATGTAGCTAATCTATACTCTCAAAGAGCTACTTTTGCAACCATCAATCGCTCATGTGCCACTATACGCTTTGTCAATTTCTCCGCGCGCTGAAATTCTCTCTAAAACATTCACTAAGACTCCTTCAATCTGTCCCAAAGTTACTACTTCGCCTTCTGAACTGCGTAGACTTCAACCCGAAGATCATTGCATTACTATTCCTTCTGCGTACAAAGTCTCATATCTGCAATTATTTTTAATATTAAAAGATCTGCGCACTCCAACTCTTTCGCGTGAAGTTGCTCCTCTTGCTCTATGATGCCTAGTTTTTTTGTTTTTCTTCAAAATTCAACAAAACTGAAACATATTTCTGTAGAAGGTAGACATATGAGTTAGAATGAGTAGATTAAGAGCAGTTATGATAGAATTAGTTAAAATTTGCCTTCGGCCAAAGATCCAAAGATCTTCAGCGCAGCCTTTTCTGGACAGTGCAAGATCTGAGTCTTTTGCGAAGACATCAAAATCAACTCGAATTGCGCAACGGGTCGGCCATCGTTCGCACGCGTCGCAAATTCTACTAGGCGCAAGAGGAGGCAATGTTAGGGCATCAAGGGAAAAGAAAAGGCAGAAGCGAATGCGTCGACATTGCAATACCGAACGAGAGCCAACACAGACGGAAAAGGAGATATCGATCGACATCGATTCCACGTTGATGCGAATTGGAGACATGGCGCCGCCCAAGAAGAGTGACAAGGTGCGGAAATTGGTTCCCTTGAAGGTACACTACGAGGAATTGCAACCCTTCAGGCGCGAGCTCAGCGAATTGCATCTCGATTTTCTATTATGGAATTAAAATTGCATCTCGGCGAGCATATGCACAAAAATTATGGATAAGAACAAGACCGAAGGCGAGGATCTCCGAGGCAATCCAATGCTGTGGACGATTGAGCATTGGGCGAAGGTGATGGAGCCGTGCGCAGGCAGCGACGGGGACCTCTTGTTCGAGAAGAGTAGCGTGAACCTCACTCGCATGGAAGAATTCTCTTACGGTCCACTATTCAATACTGGGAGGTCGGGGACGAATGGATGGAAGACCGCCGACTACAAGGATCCGAAGAGACGCGCAATAGCGTTGGGCATTATGCACATCCTAAGACCGATGCGAACGACTTACGTCATGGCCTGGCAAGTAGGGTTCTTCGAACGAGTCATGAAGGGACAGCGGGTGCACTGGACAAGAATCTTTTACGATCTTGTCTAGGTGAATGCGAGCTCCCGGTAGACAAGGCCGTTGGTTAATCATTTGACTCCCTTCCTTGTGAATTTATATCAAGGCATGGGATTGCTTACAAGGGAGGAGGAAAAGCAATTTTCGAGGGAGCGGGAAATCTTAGCAGTTGAGTTCAGTGAAGGGACCGAAGAAGAGGATAGTCGACCTCAAATTCCACCGCAGACGACAACACAAGGACCCGTTCAAGTGGAAGTTCTGCTGAATCGAGAGAAGCCAGAACGGCGATTGGCGAAGAGACGGAAGGTGGTGACTTATTACGAGGAGGATTTGATGCCAGAGGTAAGAAGAGCGGAAACGGAGATAGAAGGAATCAGGTAGTCGAGAACTCGCGCGAGACCGAAGAGGAGGCGAATCGAGGATTGGTAGTAACCAAAGTTTTGGACAGCAGTGTGGAGAAGACAGTTGTCCCAATCGTGGACACACCTGAAGTAGCAGCTGGACAGTCGACATAGCTTGTAGTGATCGAAGGACCCTCGGTGGTACTAGTCAAAGTCTCAGCAGATGTGACAGTGGAACCTTTGAAGGAGGGAATAGAGATGTTAAGTCCGAATTCTCTTTCTTCGGAGCGGACGCTGTCTGTGGGGAGTGAGGATGTACCTCAGCCGAAGATCAAAGGAGAAGTA